ATGACCGGTGTAGGTCGAGGAAATTGGTTCCAGCCCTGTGTTATCAGGGGGTCGAACGAGCCTAAACACCATGGGTCGTACATATTGTGCGGGATCCGAAGAAAGTCTTGGTAGGTTTCATAAGTGGGGAAGTTTCTTACAGGGGGTGTACATCTGTTCCCAAAGTATTGACTAGGATTGTTAGGATGCACAGCTGGACGGCGGTTAGGTGTTTGTGGTATGTAAGACATTTGAGCGTTCAGTAAGCTACTCGGCACCACGTTATGACCCCTGTGATTAAAGGGATGTTGTTCGAAGGAGTGTCTCGTGGGATTCAACCCCGAGTTGTCGCGGCACTCATTTCTGAGAGAAGGGGCTTGACGGAGAACTCGCCTTTTGGGTTCGTGTATTGCTGGTGTCTTAGCTATGAAGCATTCTTCTCCGTCATTAGAAAGCATGCGCCTGAAATGGTCCTTCTTCAGAAACGTTTTAGCTTTCGATGGTGAAGTTTCGCCCGAACTTCTGAGTCTTATGACACCCAGGGGCCTTCTGGTTATGGTGACCTTAGGGGTACCAATGGTTTTCTTTTTACATGCAACTGAAGGATCAGGTTCACTTGTAGCTAGATTTGACTGAGACTGTTGTACCGAGGAAGAGGTATATCTAACAGAACTACTGGCCATGTCAGCACATTCTGATGGTCTGTTCGTGCACACAGCAGCCTGTGTTTAAAGGTGATGAACTGGTCAGACTACTCCTTTTTTGTTTTCTGCGTTGGCACGCGGTTTTGCCTTGTGCAACTGCAATATTTTTAAAGCTGCTATGTAACCTTATGTGGTCTTGTAGTTTAATAAATCTCTTGACGTCAAATGAAGTAGTGAACTTGAAGATCGTGGGGCAGCTAGACTGCGCTAACTTTTTGCGGAGGTGCTCACAGTCACAGTGTATTCCTGTCATATCGCGCGAGTTTAATACCTTTATCCTAACTACATTCAGGGGTAGGGTTTCAGGTTTGTTATAAACGATGGCCTGTTGGGACGACGATAGTCTCTTCATTATCTCCGTCACCAAGTGGTCTATTAAGTTTTCTGCTTTCACTACATGGTCTTCAACTAAATTCCCATGCTCCCCTAGAGTATATGCTAATGGATCGAAATCCTCAACTATTCTCCTGATCTCTTCCATCATGGTCTTAATGTTGTCGATTTTTTTCCAGTGGTTGTTAATACTGCCACTCATGACTGATGTGTCTTCGGTTCTGACAAAGGCAAGGGGCATTGCAGATCATCGAGATCTGAGTTACACGGGGTAACAATGCTTCTGTCACACAGAAGAGCACTGGAATGACCAAGTCTTTGCTTTCTCTCACTAGAGCAGTCGATTTTAGAGCGTTTAGCCTTAGATCTTCCCATCTAAAAAGACGTTAAAATCGAAGCTTATGGTAAAAATAGAAAAACAGCGAACGGCTATACGTAGTATACCGAAACGTTGTTAACTCAATCTGTGAGGAGAATAGCGGAGCTGTAAGCCAAGTATATGGGATAGACTGAAACATTACCACGAAAATATAGTAATAAGTAGTCAGACACGACAGAAAATCTGCAAATTGATATAATCAAGAACCAAGTGAAAAGGAAGCCTATGGATTCGACTTTACAGCGTGTTTTTTCCAAGAAAAATTTGGCCGAGCTATTGACCAGCAATGCCAGCTACGCAACAACAACTTTACATGACAACATGCTGTTTACTGGCACTCGTTTTAGAGGTATCACACTGCGCATCATCGAGAGCCATGTAGCCAGGATGTGAGACAGAGCTCAATGCATCCTATGCTGCAGAGCTTGTCCGAATGGCAGTCGTCGGGTAAAGTGGCTTTCTGAGCTTACGAAAAGGTTTCCAGCGTATGGATGACCAAAGTCCACGGCAGCTGGTTCAACCACCAGTAGGACATAGGAAGAGTGTTGAAAAGTAGCCCAGAGGTCTGTTCCGCCCATTGCCGTGCAACAAGTTGGCTCAAAAAGTAGTAATCTCTCAACAGACTGAAGAAGAGATTCACCAAGAGGCTTAGACATCGTTGCATTTGTGAGCTAAGAATATGAAGAGCGGTCTCGTACTTTCTGTACTCTATCCACGCTGCTGTGAAATGGTACTAAACTTTTTTGGCGAAGGTGATTGCTTACGTTGCATTTCCAATACAAAATGAAGTATTAGGAAAGCCAACCACGTTTCATCTGAGCAGGTCATTTCACTTCGGTGATCCAAAACCAGTAATTTTGTGAAGTGATTCTGAGGCAGTCGCCGAACCCATCATGAACTACTTGCTCGCTCAGTGAAGTCAGGCTGACCCCCGAAATAATGTTTGAGGTCCATTTCGCAATCCATTTTGAAAGAAAAAACTGGAAGAAAACTTGACTGCCACCGAACAGTTGTTTTTTCACACGGCAAGAGGTGATGGAAAGGTCGGCAGCAAACAAGGTCCGGGACTTCCACAGCCAAAAATGCCATTTGTACAGTTTAACACCACTTTTGCAACAGGATTTTATGTCACTGGTTTAAAGACTGCATGAAACAAAGGAACTACTTGGTGAGGGGACGAAAAATCAGTTCACACAATCTTCCTTGGTTCGACGAAAGCCATTTGAAAGTATCCCACATCACATCGATATTAGCCATGACAAACCAACCTCAACCTCTCAGCTCAAAGTGCCGCTTACATGCGGAGGGTTCCTCATCGAAATGAAGTCATCAACATCTAGGTGGCCTCAGGTGACAGTCAACAGGCCTCTTCAGTTTCTGCTTTTCGTTAATGACGTCTAACGGAAGATATCTTTACCCATCCTTATTCCTATTAATTAAATTAAAATGTGGAGGTCGGTAACTAATGAATTCGGATCTGCAATAATACAAGAGGGTTCATTGTGAACGTTTTGATGAAGTAGGGCTTCTAGTACTCAAAAGAGAGTACGAAACTCAGAGGAACTGCCGAGTTACACGGCATAAGCGAATCCTCAAACTTTGGGTAAAACACACTGAGATACAGTTTTGTAGCTAACCATGTTTACAAGGGGGGTTTGAATGGTTGTATAACTGAGGTTTCAATGAACTTGAGCAAACGATCATGAAGGCTCCAGTGCAATGGTCTAAAGTCTGTTCTATTCGGTTCAACTTATCCCAGAAAGACAGAGGACAGTAACATAACTTGTACACCCATCCACCAAGGGATTGACACAACCAAGCCACCCATACAAACGAAGTGGAATCACCAACTGAGAATGCCAGAAGAAGAGTACATCGAAGAGCTAATAATATTCACCTGTTAAATTTAGCTTCTGCAAGAGTACAAATTTTATTGATAGCTGTGCTGTGGCTATAGCCACCCTGATGGAATCATTCAACAGGATGCTACAGAACCATGTCCGTTGAAATTTGTTACCATTAGACCACTCAAGGCACCATTAACCACATTAACTATACAACGAAACACATCTAACTCCTCGCTACCTTAGTATTATAATCTCGATACTCATACTTGAATATGTATCTTCCGACTTCTGGCTCATACTTGCTCCGGCTATACCCGCTTTTGTCTCCCCAAACATCCCATATTCTCTTTCACCCCCATATTACTGTTCCTTTTGAGTCACAAATAGAGATGGAAGTCAAAAGAAGGCTCCAAACCTTCCAGCTAGCTTGTGGTTTCCCAGTCAACTCAATTTACAAGTTGCAAGTACAAACCCAGAGAAAACGCTGACCTCGCAAAAGCTAGGAGCAAGAAAACATAGGGGATTTCTATTCTCATTAGGGAAGCTAAAACTAACAACGATAACCGGAATTCGAGAATCAGATGCGAAAGTTCAGTAGCTTCATATTTTCCATACTGGCACCATTGATGCTGCATGTTCGATGCAGTTAGTTTGCTGAATGATGTTCAAAATTTACGAGCAACACCCCTGAACTATGGACTTTAGAAAACACAAGGCTTAGGGATGATCATGTCGTGGCGAACAGTATACTTGGTACTCCTGATCATCCACTTTATCATTTACCCACGCTAAGCCTCAACAGAAATCTTCGAGGGAATATTAGGAATGTAAATTGTCCTCGTCTTCTTGAGAGTTACCGAAAGTTGGGGTGATCTCCTCAAGGATATGGTTCTGACAGTGTTGAAAGACTGTTTCAGGAGCAAACTCCGCTTTACTGTGGTCTCGATACGGTTTTAAGCTGGACAAATAATGAGTTGTTTTTCCTTGTTTTATAAAAATTATCATGGTCAGAGGAACTGGTGAACTAACGCTTTCAGACGAGAAAGCTAGTAAGCAGTAAATTATCCTGCTCCGCCCGTGTGCTGCACGTTTTATGGTTCGTTCGTAGAGCCTTCAATAGTTTTCATTGGGAAATGTTCAGAAAACTCCGTTCTATCTACTTTAGACCTCACTGAAAATACTGCATTTGGGCGCGCAGTCCGTGCATAAAATAAAATGCTGATGTGCTCCAGACTGTTCAGAAGTTAAGCACGAGCAGGTGGTAGATCTTTCTAATCCGCTCTGCATGGCACAACTTTATCGGTTAAACTTATTCCAACCAACTTACCGTAGGAAACGGGATGATTTTGTAGTGCACCTTCCTGGCACCAAAATATAACTAGGGCTACAATTTCATACTGGATTCCGTATTCTTAATAATAACTTCGGCACTTAAATGTCTTATCCTTTCCCACTTCTAGGATTGATTATCCTCGGGGCATCACAAAAAGCCAAAAAATTTTGATAGAATCAACTCAGTATGAATCTTCGTTTCTCTCATGGTGTGCTCAACGACTAGAACTCTTTACCTCAGCACATTCGGTCATCGTATTCAATGAGAAATAAGATCTTCACAAAGAAATATCTTGCAAGGATTAACACAAATCAACTGGCCTACTATATTTATCATTGATAACTGAAACTAAGATTATCTAACTTAATTGAAATTAATTGAGCATTGATGGCTCTGTCAACATGGTGATGTAAAGCGGGTAAACTATGTCCGAGTTATTGGCTCAAGCTGGATTATATATTGACGATTTTTATAAACTGCGCATAGTTGATCCCAAAGTTACACATGAGACAAATGAGCTTAAAGAAGAATGTGAAAAGTACCTTTCAAGTACGAAATATATGTATCCAATATGTTTTACAAGCTCAGTTTTCAGTGGTATATTACTATCCTCATAAGGATAGTAGGCCAGTTGGCCTTTGTTAATCCTTTCCAATTTGTTTCTTAATGCTCTCTTCTAGATTTTGCAAACAGTTTTAGTGATGTGTCTAAACACACTAACAAAAGTGAGGAAATAAAGGGGATGAGTGGGGAAATAATAGGCCAATCCATTATGATGGTTACTTCGACAAACTTTTCAGTAAGCACCAGCTCATCAAGTAGATGCGATGTATTTAATATTTTGAAGGCCTAATACGTGTGGAAGAAAAACTGGATTGCTGAAGTTAATGTGATTATTTGCTGATTTGAGGTGTTGATAATATGTTTACACATTACTGCCCCATTATTTCCTCATTCATACACTTTGTTTCCCCATTTTCGCTAGTTTTGGTTTGGCAACCTCTTGCAGTCACTATACAAGAACTCTAAATCATGTTTAAAGAAGTATGGTAACATTTTTTCGATGCATGATTTGGTTTTGTTTCTTAACAAATAAATTTGTATGCAGCGATTTACAGCACCATGTGATGAGATATTTGTTGGCCAAGTAATGTCACCATTTCTTGCAATAAAAATCCTAGGTTGTAAACAGTCTAGTTATATCCAATAAACTGTTAAATAAGTCAGATATTCTTTTACATTATCTCCACATTTTTGTTTGACTGGATACTTAAGACGTGCTTTTAAATCTCTGGAAAGCCTTGGTGTATAGTCTTTGATAAAAATTTTTACATATATCTCGGTCAGCTAAAATGTATTTAGAAAAAGATTGATTGAGTGACGAAATATATTTCTTTTCAATTAGGTCTTCATCTTGGACTCTACACTAACATATAGGTTTACAATTTAATCAAATTACCAATCACGTGGTGTTTCGGAAATAATGATGTAAATAATCAATACAGTCACTAAAATAGGAAATATGAATATTGATAGAAACGCGAAGGGGGAGAGGTGCACAAAACAAACCTAGAATTTACATCATGTTGGCGGCCAAGATAATGAAAGCGGTCGAACAAACTTCTTTTGGATACAAAAGCTAGGTTTGTAAAGGTGGATTGCAATCGCCTCTGCTTTGTGAAGTAACCGAGTGCGTAATCCATGGGGTAAATTAATTGGAATCTGATGGATAATTTTGAAGGCTTTTCCAGTAATCACTTGATGTCCTGTGTCAACTGAGTGTGCAAGTATGGAGCTCTTTATGGTTCCAATTTGTCCCTTGTTCAACCATGATGAGTGGTGCTCAGAAATTCGACGATGGAACTGCCTCATTGTACACTCCACAGGAGCAGCTGAATTGATAAATGCATATAGAAGTGGCAGAATCAGGCAGTTTGTCTTTATTTTTTGCACCTAGAATTGCGTGGTTGTAGAAGGCGGAACGTAATTTAGTGGCTGGGAATGCTTTATGCAAGACTCTTTTATGCGTTGTGTGATGATCTCACTGGCAGTGTCACTCTTAAATTTCAGCTTCAAGAGGATTTGTTTCTTAGGAACTGTTGGCATTGTTTTCTTAATCCTCGTAATATTCATGTGCCTAGTTACAAACTTGTCTGGGTAGCCATTCCTACCAAGCAGATCACGGATGGTGGCAAAAACCTAGTGAAATGCTTAGCATACCGTGCATCAGCTATTTGCTCAGATGATGCTACAAAGGAAGAGTGCGCCACCATCCGTGATCTGCCTAGTAGGAATGGCTATCCAGACAATTTTGGAACTAAGCATATGCATTTTAGTGTTATTGCTGGCCACTGCCCATCATTACTATAAGCATGTGAATGTTACAAGGGTTAAGACAAGTACACCGACAGTCTGTTAGAAGCAAATTTTCTTGAAGCTGAAATTTAAGAGTGACACTGCCAGTGAGATCATCACACAACGCATAAAAGAGTCTTGCATAAAGCATTCCCAGCCACTAAATTACGTTCCGCCTTCTACAACCACGCAATTCTAGGTGCAAAAAATAAAGACAAACTGCCTGATTCTGCCACTTCTATATGCATTTATCAATTCAGCTGCTCCTGTGGAGTGTACAATGAGGCAGTTCCATCGTCGAATTTCTGAGCACCACTCATCATGGTTGAACAAGGGACAAATTGGAACCATAAAGAGCTCCATACTTGCACACTCAGTTGACACAGGACATCAAGTGATTACTGGAAAAGCCTTCAAAATTATCCATCAGATTCCAATTAATTTACCCCATGGATTACGCACTCGGTTACTTCACAAAGCAGAGGCGATTGCAATCCACCTTTACAAACCTAGCTTTTGTATCCAAAAGAAGTTTGTTCGACCGCTTTCATTATCTTGGCCGCCAACATGATGTAAATTCTAGGTTTGTTTTGTGCACCTCTCCCCCTTCGCGTTTCTATCAATATTCATATTTCCTATTTTAGTGACTGTATTGATTATTTACATCATTATTTCCGAAACACCACGTGATTGGTAATTTGATTAAATTGTAAACCTATATGTTAGTGTAGAGTCCAAGATGAAGACCTAATTGAAAAGAAATATATTTCGTCACTCAATCAATCTTTTTCTAAATGTACAAACGGGTACATTAAATGTATTAAAATGTATTCATGTTCTTGTAACTTAGTAAGTTTGCAGGAGACTAATTTTAAAACAGGAGACTGAGACGAATAAATGTGGCAGTAGGCAGATAATGATATGCTTATATCATTCTGTAGTTCTTTGAGACCCCTTAATCTGAAGCAGTTCATTATATTGGAACAATGTTTGGGTATTATTTATCTTTCGGCTAGCTGTTTACGTCGTTAAAGCGGTTTCGGATCCAACTTCCACCACCGCTACACCCCAAGTAGTATTTTACTGGATTATGTGACTCACAGTGTAAAACAGTCCTACAGACGCTTCAGTTCTACACTCAATATATTTTTAGTTTTCACCAACCTGTTTTTCGATGTGCTTTACTAACAGTAGTTAGTATAAACCTTGTAAAATAATCTGAACCGTTCAGTCAGTGTAGTAAAGGGAGTGATATAAGTATGTGATGACTCGAATTGTCACACTTCATATCATTAAATAAAGGCTGAATAAAATAAACGAAGGTAAAACTGGAAAATGAAATATTGAAAGCCGTTGAAAACCCTGAGACTTTAAGAATGAAAGGAGTAGGGTGAAAGGGATTGCTCAGTTTGTTATGACGGTTAAGATGAAGACAATATGTAGATGCAGCTATGTCACTGCAATCGATTTTGAGCCAATTCAATCAAGGTCTTCAACCTGTGTTTGAATTGTCACACAGAACCCAGTCAGGAACTCCTCACTTACGTAAACAGCTCAGACTGACAGTTTAAGATCGTGTTGACAACTCACTTATTACGTTTGATCCAACTTCCTGGCATGTAAACTAGTCAACAAACACCACTTAACTTTATTTTTAGTGAGACGACAAACTGAGATAGGTTCTAAAGCAACATTTTGCATTTGAAATATAGAATATGTGTCCTAAACCTTCTTAGACTATCGTATTGCTTAATAGATCGCAAGGACTAAACCTCAAGAACGAGATCAAAACTTATTTACTCATGCTGAAGTGATTGATGCTGAATGCTAGATTCCCAGCAATGTTTACTAACAACATCTATGTAAGTAACAAGCTGCTGCTGAATGATGTTCGTTATATACTGAAATTCTGAACACAACTAATTGTTTTTTCTTTCTTTCTTGAAACGACAAGGGCCATTTTAGAATTATGCAGTCGTGTGTAGCTCAGTTTGGGAATGTCAGTATTTTGGTGAAATTTTTTTGTAGAAGTTTAATCACCATGTTTTGTAAAATCATCATTGTAGTGGATAACGCTCTCACGTTTGAAGCGATCGCTTCCGAGTCGGAGTACTGGTGAGAACTGATGATAAGCCTTCCGAGATGTTTTTTCCAAGAAAAACTATTTTTGGTAAAAATTTTTAAAAATTCTCGATTAATCATCTAATACCATGTGTTTAAGTAGTCAGGCATGTTTTTCATACACTTGGTTTATCTGATATGCCTAATCTTCCACTTAGGTTATAACTGTTTGTGTGAAGAATTCGGTGAATAAAAAAGGCCAAACCTGAATCTTCTAAACATTCTTTTTGTTAAAAAAAGTAAATTTTCTCCTTAAAAATGAATTTTTAGGCATAATATTCATTTAAAGAAGTTTTCAATAGCTTTTTAATTTTGTTTATATAGGAGTACAAGTTTGCATACTATGTCTGATAGGATCCATTTTTGTTGAAGATGAATGGGTTCAAAATATGCAGTTTTTGGAATCTTACAACTTCAAGAACGTTTGGTTTAGGCAAGCAGTGATGCAAAATGTAGACTTTGAACCAAATACAATATATCAGAGCAAGGAAAAGAAATACATTTGTCATCCTAGTGAATTTCATCTATCTTTTTGACTGACGTGGATACCGTGTACCCATCCATTTTACCCTAGAGTACGACTATGTGGCATCACAGTTGAAGTTACTTTTGATTGTTGTTAGTTTCTGCCTGGCATCACTGAGACGTGGTGGAACTATAGAGTGAAAAATATTGTTAGATATAGAGTTCTTGCCTAGAATGTTAATACAACCAATGAGGGTGTAAACTTGTAGCGACTGAGATGACTTGAGGATATATTGTACGTGATGAGCTACAATCTACATCGACGTCAGTATATCTAGAAAAGGTTACTATACTATAGAAAAAAAGATCTAACTATCATCATCTGAATCATTTCTCAAAGAAATTACTTTGGTATGACTATCGATAATAAATTCTTCCTGAAACGCTATCCAGGAAGTACTACTGTTTCTCGGTGAGGTATGTCTAGTTAACGAACTAGAATGAGATTGCAGTTTAATGCAGTATCCGTTTTACTTATACATTGACGAAGATTTGTCAGTATGCTACTTCATCAAGTGTATATAAAGTTAAAATGACTGTTGATTTTAGAGCCGCATACATAATGAACTGACCATTTGGAGAATCATTGAGCACGGGTCGACATAGACAGACAAAAGCAACATGGAATCCCTGACAAAATTATATTGGTTCAACTTCCCACATTTTACAGTACCATTTAAAGAACAAGTAGAGGAGAAAAGACAGGTATCAAAGTAGACAAAGGTGTACGGGAGCAGGAGGAGTTCAAGGACTAAGAAAATCTCAATATTTGACCTTTAGAAGTCGTCCAATAGTGAATATATATGAGCTTTCGTGACCGATTTTCAGCCAAGTGACCAAGAATTCTTAACCACTAATTTCTATAGTCTCGTAGACGTCAGCGAGCTAGTCTATATCTCAAAACATGACTCAGACCAACAGTTAGAAGTTTCATGCACTGACTCTACCTCTTGACCTGGCCACCGTCAGCCTTCTTTCAACTCAATCCATCTTATCATAGCATTTCACATCGCGATGAGTGGTGACTTGGAATGCGCAACACATATACAACCCATCTTAGACACTGAGGGTTGAAAACCTTATCGACTAATTTTCCATTCTTGTCTAATTCCCATTGCCTGGCCTCGATATTACCTACATAGTGATTCCATTATACGTGAAGAATGCTATGAAAAAACCAAAGTCAAAACCTATAACCGCAGTATACCTGTCCTATAATAGGTAATCGGATGTCTCGTCAGTCTTTATCAGAGCTGACGCAAGTTGGCAAATGCCAAACAGGCCATCAGTATCCAAGCTGAGATTTCATCAGCAACCAGCATGACCGATCTGATGCAAGCCCCCCCCATCTAAGTGAAGTGGTCGACGCATTCCATCAATCCACTCCCCACCCTTAAACTGGCATTAGTTGTAGATCAGTCCTGAAGCATCATCTTACAATTTACAGACACGAAAAGAAAACGAAATACTAAGACTCTGCTTCTTATCAACGTCTTCGCCTAACATGACAATGTTGTCTGCGTACTTCAAGTCAACCAGATGCCGTTCAAGGAGTAGGTCAGTTCTTGTGATGTCTGAGGTAATTATGGTCATGTCCACTCAAACATCTGTAGCCAAGTTAAACAGAAACAGTGACAGTGGATATCTGTAAAGTCAGTTCCCATGACAACTCCCCATAAGCCTTTACACGACTGCGTGAGTTTGAGTAAAGAGTTTTGATTAGCAATACATATCTGCTTGGTACTCTCTTTACGGTTAGACGTTGCCGTCACACCTCACTGTTGATAGAGTCAACGGCTGCCTTCAGTTCAAGAAGCAGAGTAAGTGCTGGACCCCGGTAGGTATGTTTATATTCCAGAACCTGTTGGAAGGTGAAAATTTGATCGATGAACTCTCATCTGGGTCTGAAATGTCTGCTTTTCTCAAGCTTTTTCGTCTCTGTAGCACTGTAAAACCTGGGAGCAATAGAAATTCCTTCTATCTCAGAATAGTACTTCTCAATAGTACAAGCCTGCAGCCCCGTAAGAGATAGGACCAAGGACCGATAGGCCACCACTGAGCTACTTGGTTGAACTCTAAAGTTCCACATTTTCCTACTTATCGCAGTTTGTAACATTACGTGACCACTATCTAATGGACTTCAACTCAGTGACTTACTGCTAGCGATCTTTCCACGAAACTTGGAGATCCCAAGTTCTATCCCTTACGGGGTCGTTGATGCACACTCCTGAGGAGTTCCATATTACGATGAAACCGTTGTTCAGTGATTCCAAGCTTTTAGTACCTCTCCAAATGATGTTAGTTTATAATGAATACCTTCTTGAAGTCAATCATATCCACCTCCAAACTAACTGCTAATTTATTTTAGTTACGATGTTAAACAATCCTGATGTAATATAACAGTCAGATACTCAAGCTTAGTCCTTATGGCAACCACTCATGATTAGTAACCAGGATAAGAAGTGGAGAGAGAGCCAGAATATTTATTTGCCTCTAGGGTATTGATCAACAAGGCAAAAACTACATGATATTTATAAAGCAACTATATAGGTTATAATGGTTAGGATGCGAGTAATTTCTCGTTGCTATACAAGGCCGATTTGCTCAACCTCTGCTAGTCCCCAAGATCATTAGAACATCATGAATAATCAGCAGTATCGGGCATCTGCATAGGAGCACATCTGCCAACAGAGTTTGAGAAATTCGGCCCTGTATATCAACGGAAAGTTACAAGTATCATTACAACAACTGGTAATCGTTGTACAAGAAATGGTTATCTTACCCCAGGGGCTTGGTGGATAATCGTCCGGCTTTTGGAGCGAAGGGTACTGGGTAGGAGACGGTTGGAGGTACATACAGTTGACAAGTGAGTCCCATATAGGACTAAACGCTCGTCTTGGATTCCTCTACTAGTTGCCAAGATCAATATAATTATATAGGCTGTACTTTATAGCCAGTGAAATAAGCAATATACCTCATGATTTCAACTAGAAGGTTAGACATTTTTCATCAAACAAAACAAAACCTTATACTTTGCTTCAGCAGTGGAAGTCCAATTTTACACTGCTCTACATGATAATTATTGCAGATGTCGTTGCTAAGGTGGCCTTCGGGGCTAGATCTACTTGACAAAAAAATGGTTGTTATGGTTGTCTAAGTAATCTAATGAATATGAAATTGATTTTTACTGCTAAGAGTACAGTTGAATAAGAAAATACACTGCCTATATAACGAAGTAGGTTATGGTACAAACAACTGAATTTCCAAACAATTTTATCATAGTATGATCTTGTCGAATATCTTTAAAGTAATTGCTGTAGGTTAGATAAATTTAGCTTAGTAGTATTTATCTGTGATAGTTTATGATGCGCATTGATTAGTCACCGGAAAGTAACCAACTTCATGTTATCTAGTGCTGACCAGGTGTAATCAGTCATTTTAGGAGGTGGCAACCAAGCTGGGAGACTCACCATCGTGGTATACTTAGATAGTGTAAGTCGGGTGAATATAATCATCATTACGCTTTGAACCTACGTTTAGTACATATTGGTACTCGTTAGTTAAGTTGTAACCTCAAGGGGACTGGACTAATCCAACCCTATAGGACATCAACTGCTACCTATGGTAACGTCTTTGATTGAAGTATTGAGTGAAAGGGGTTTGAATCTCGCAGAAGATATCATTCCTCTTGAGGTTGGTGATACATCCTGCTAAAAAGAGCCAACAAACTCAAGACCCAGGTCTAGCTGGGCTTCTTGCCTATGATCTCCAACTGATTAACTTCGTGAATACATTTATGAGTTTTCTGTAACTAGTGCCTTTTCTTAGTGTTATGTTCGTAGTGGTTAGTACAATAATCGAAACAATCAGTTTGAAAGTGATGATGTAGTCACACTTCATTATCATTATCACCGTTAGAAAAGGCATCACTGTGTAACGGTCCAAGTTGTCACACCTTATATCAGTACATCACGTAACAAAGTAATAAAATAAGAGATGAACGAATAAGGAAAAATCGGTAAGAAGCAGTAAAATATGACAAAATAGAGGAAGAGGGAATTAAAAGGTTCTGAATTCAATATAGTGGGTAATATGAAGGTAAAGTGTGGTTACATCTGCTCCACTGACATCGGTTCTAAGCCATATCACACAGACTATCCAACCATTGGTTTTTCTGGTCCCGCGAACCCATAACCGGCTAGTCTGCGTTGCTCTATATCGTGCAAACCAACAGTTGTTGACTTTTGCAACCTGAACCTACTCCAACTAACATTGCGCAATGAAGCAAAGAGTGACTAGATATGCGCAACATATGTCTCATCCATCTCAGTCGATGAAGGTTCACAATCACCTAAAACTCTATACATGACTTCTGCGTAACTAATCTGGTGACACCGCAAAGCACGACCTATAAAACAAAAGCAACGATTGTCAAACATCTCATGCTTTCTCATGTCTTCTACCTTTAATGGGAATGTTTTGCAGTTATACAGTAGAACAGAGCGAACCGTAGACTATTACACTCGACCTTTAATAGATAACTGGATATCACTGCGGCACTATAAATGGTGTAAGTTGACGAAAGCCAGTCATGTCTTTTCTATCTGTGGGAAGATTTCACTTCTCTTCTTCTATCTATCTCATAGTTATAGGATTAAAATAATCTGTAACCGATCATATATAATGGTAAGAGTAGACTAATCGATAATGAGCTTCAGTCTTTTGCTACCTTTACAATCCAATTCACCGCTTCATTTTTCCTATCCTTAAAACTTTCAAGTTTATCATGAATAAAGTATTAAATCGCCTAATTCTCTTTTCTTTTTAATTCTCTTCAGAAATGACTGATCTCCAAGTGATTGTTGGTGATCTTTTCAACTTAATCAGTTTTGTAGCTGAGAAAGTTGAATCACAAAAATTAAAAGTTTGTAGATATGAAAAAACTTTTTTTCAATCATTATTTAGGCAATTGGATCACGTAATCGACTTATATCTATTGAAAAACAAAGACAAATACAACAGAAATATTTGGAATCACAAATTTTAATGAAGAAGAAAGATATTGAACGGTAAGTTACTATATAATGCTGGTTTATTTTTATTTGTTTGCCCCTTGAGTTCCTAGTTGAATTTAAGGCTTCAGTAGCACGTCGCTAATTCACTCTCTCCTCTACAGTCTCTTGAACCTCATTCTATGACTGCCCAGAAGCTCACATTCCTTCCTCACACTATCTCCTACATGTCACCCTCAGATGCACAACTCGTCGTTTCCCATATGGGTTCCACTCGATGACCTGACATGGCCTGGCACGTGATATCTCCGAACAGTCTTCTCAGTGTATGTCCAATCAAATCCATCTCCACCTTCTTATACATACTTCTCGGAAGATAGTTTGTTGGTCGGTTGGTTCGTCTCCAACCAGCCAGCCAGAGTTCCTCCTTGCTTATTCTTATTATTCTGTCCATCTGATATTCACTATTGAGCGTACACGACAGCTGTTGATGCTGTATGTCTTCAGTTCGTTGGAAATGCTTTTCGTAACACGTTAAGTCTCTCAACCATCACATAGAAGCATTAACTTACTTGACCGACATTAGTGTTGAAAATCCAGATGTTGTTGGCGCTTTATGCTGAGTGTAGTGTAGTGCAGTAGATCTCCACATTGATTATTTCAGATTGATGAAGGCCTATCTTTCTGTCTTTCCGATCCTGGCTTTGACATCCTCATTTGTGCCGCCACCGCCGCCTGTTGTTGAGACGATGCTGCCTAGATAGGTGAAGGAGACAACTTCCTTTAGATTTCTTCCGTTGATGGTGATTGGTGCTTGATATAATGCTTAATTGAGTAGAAATTGTTCAAAATCTATTTATTCTTTGTGTTAATCAATAAGCAAACAATCAAGGTTGTATAAGGTTATAATTAATGATGACAGAACTCAATCTATGATATAATTCCATAGTTCTCAAGTGATTTCAAATCCTGAGACCCATTACTCTGAAAAATTTATTACCTTGAAGTTAATTTCATTCTTTTCATTAATATTTTATCAGTTTTAATTATATGAGATAGTTGTGGTTAAGTAGATTTGTTTGTATTGAAACTGGATGATGATTTAAGGTGAAATGAAAATTTTTCTTCGCCTATCATGTCTTGTAACTCAGTTGATAGACTATAAGATCGGTAACCTGCAGTCCGTTGGTCCGAATCCTACTGTTGAATCGATTTTCATCTCAATTTCAATTATCACCCAGTATTATTGTTAATTATCAGAGTGTTTCATATTTCTTTACATCTTTGTACTTGTTTTTTGAGCATATATTATATAGTACTGATGCGTAGTGGCTAGCAAGAGAATCTAGGATGCCCATTTCGTCCTATTTGAGACTCGTCAGCTGAATGTGCCTGCCTTTCAGTGAGTGATGAGGTTCCCACTGATGTAAATGCAAGCAATTATACTAAAACTATACCCGTTTCACAAGAAGTGGTTATCGTGGCACGGTGATGTAGTGGATAACGCTCTCACATTTGAAGCGATCGCTTCCGAGTCTGAATCCCGGTGGGAACAACATCACTCAGGTACTCAGGTACACTCAACTGACGAGTCCAAAATAGGAAGAAATGTGCATCCTGAATTCCACTGCTGGCCACTATCCATCATTACTATATAGTTACGAGCACAGGTAATATCGAGACATCTGCACAGGAGCCCATATGCCAATAGAGACTGATTAATTCGGCCCAATCAATGAAGGTATAACACAAGTAATTATACTATATTATAAGGTGTTACAAAAAGTCTGATGTTGGTTATTAGCGTTTATTTACATCTCCAAAACCATACATAAATCAATCTATCCTTCAAAAATTAATGCCAGTCTCCAAATTGAACCTAAACAAAAGAATCGCTAACTAATAATACTTATTTCGGCAAATTCCAAGAGAAACTTATTTGCGTTTATATATCAGTAAAATATCAACAACCATATAGTAGATGATAGATACAGTCTCATTTAAAATGTGAAGAATTTTAGCATTAATTAGGGGTGTTATTTTAGATAGTATTCTTCAAAAGAGTTTACAAGTTTGCATTGAAGTCGTATATGAAGACGGTTTAGATACTTGGCTATTGAACAATGGTTTTCCCCTGGGTTAAAAGCTTGTTTTTTTTGTAGTTTAGACCCACATAAAACATATACAGTTGATCAACCTGGTAAATAAACATTTACATGGTGTTATCATGTATTTATTACTTTGCATTATACAAGTGTTATTATACACGGAATGAAGTGGATTATTCTTAAATCCTGAGAAATACCAGTTCATTCTGCATTCATTCCTTTTTGGATTAACTTTCAATAAATATGCTTGTACCAGCCGAGATTCATTCATCTCATAATGCAAATATTTGACAAAAGAGTACATACAGTTCAATCACCACTAAACATTTATCATAATGGTGGCATATTTTTCGATAGAATTGAAAAATACGGTTACTACTCGGTAATAATTGAAGGTGAAATGAAAATTGAGGCCACGGCCGGATTCCAACCAGCTACCACCGAGTTTCCGGCCCGATGCTCTACCAACTGAGCTAAAGGGTCAGACTTCTAGCCAGATTTTTATTTCACTTTACTTGACCAAAAACCTGTGGTCGCTGGTTCGAATCTGGCTGTGATTGAAATTTTCATTTCACCATCAATCATCATGCAGTATAAATACTAGTCTGTCGGCTATCTCAGACAGTCAAAAAGAAAAATACGATTACATTTTATGAGAGTTGATGTGTATACTAACGTAAAGCCTTTTATTGACACAGTACAATTCAACCCTTCAACTGTAATGGTGACTAAGACTTTTTTGTTATTAAGTCAGTGTAGCAGCATTCCGTGCTTTCCTTCATGATAAGGATGATTTCATTGTACATTCATCCTGACCATAAACGGTCACAAAACTCTTGTATAGTCAGATTGAAAAGGAAGTTGTAATTCTCACTTTTCCCGAACGTCACTTTCAAAAACTTTTATACGGCTGAGAATTAGCTGTTATATCAAAAGATTAAACCCTCTTCTCCGTTATATAATCAAGAACCAAGATATCTACCCATTCTCCAAATAGATATTAGTGGTATAATTTGATTTTGAAATTCACCATCACTTTACTAGTGAGTTTTTGCTAAGCAGATTCATTGTCATATGATATGAGCATCAAAATCAATATAGGACCAGACATTACTGCGTAACTGTCCAAGTTGCCACACCTCATATCAGTACATCAAGTAACAAGGAAATAAAATGAAGATGAAGAAAGATAGAAAAATTGGTCGGAAGAAGCAGAAAGTAGTAAAAGGAAGGAAGGAAGGAAGGAAGAATGAGAAGTTGATGAGATTATTTGTGTAAACATCTACGCCACTGACATCTCCAACCACTTGTTCATCTTATCCTACGGATCTCAACCGGTTAGTAAGGATTGCTCTACATGACTCAAACGAACGACCAAGGACTTTATGGGTTGGTGCTATGTTTTAGTCTGGCCACTTCGTGCTTTTTTTCAGCCTAGACCTACTTCGGCCAACATTGTGTGACGAGGCAATCGGTGACTAGGGATATGTAACACGTGTCCCAGTCACTTCAGTCGATAAAGGTTCACAACTGCATCAACTGACTTACCTCTCCGACCTAAAACTCTACGTCTTACTTCTGCATAATTCACTTGGTGACACCACGAAACACGACGTATGAAACCAAAGCAACGATCGTCAAGCACTCAAGCCTTTTCATGTCTTCTACCTCTAATGGCCATAATTCACAGCTAGAAAGTAGAACACAACGGACTGCTGCGCAGTACACTTTACCCTTAATAGACAACCGGACGTCGTGGCGACACCATAGATGGCGTAAGTTTGCAAAAACCAACCAAGCCTTATCAATGCAGAGATTTCTCAGGCGACTGGGCCATTGGGATTAATCTGACTTCCTAGGTAAGTGAAATGTTTGACGCATTCAACCACTACACTCCCTGTTGTTAGCTTGAGCACCATTGAAGACCAGTTCTTGGGCAATAATTTACATTTGAATGTCAAGAAATGCATTTCAAGAATTCTTAAATTGTCATACAAGGTATCCAGAAGACTTTGCATCCCGTCAGCGTCTTCACCTAACAGAACTATGTTTTTTGCGTACTTTGGGTCTACAAAAATGTCTTCTGTGATTCGATCAATCTCTGTGTAGTCAGATATCATGAAGGAAACCTCCATAAGAACGTCTATGTTAACATTGAATCAGAATGCAGTTAACAAATGTGAAGAAATGGCAATGGAATAGCCACAGCTTCAAGAAAAGATTACTTATATCAGCATATTATCAGCTGTATAAGAGCATTTTTATTTGCTGCAGCCAATACTCAGAAGATGATACATGTGTATACAAATTTTGAAATACAGAATCAATTTTGTTTTGAACAAATGATTGACCAAACCATCCACAGTTCAGTTAAATTGAACTTTTTGTCTAATTCCAGTTTATGAACCATGGAAAGCAATGTAAAGACTGTCAGAAGGCAGCAAAGTATTAATAGTAGCTACTAAGAGCTTCTTAGTAGCCTCTGTGAAATATATAACTGTGTATATGCACATCTATTTCGCCTACATAATTAATAAATCCTCTTGTTTCGCGTCAGTGCCCAATTTTCTAATACAGTCGGGGCTTAGGTGAGATGATTTATCCTCTAGAAATATTCTCATATAACCATGATCTCATAAAATTTGTCTGAGAATTCGTTTTCACTTCATTTACTCGGGAGGGTATTTAAACAATAAAACAGATGGTAAATATGAATGTTCTATGCTTATCGCCAGATTAGTAGGTATCCAGAATCCACTCCGATGAGTCAGAGAACTTCAATCTCAGTTCAGTGATTCACAAAAGTTGTGGAATATAGAATGAAATGTTGTCATATGAAAACTACTTCGGTCACTGGCAAACATAGAAATGTAGCATCTAACTTTAATCTGCCTGTTTCGCTTTGTGCAACCTATCAGGATCTCAGTCCTTAAATATATCATCAAACACAATTATGATGAAGACTTCAGTCCATTCATTATATCTTCATAAGAGTAATCAAATTTACAATGTTACATAGTTTGTGCTCAATCATTCACTTTGTCGTTATTTCGCTAACAAGTGTGTTTCATATGCACTAAGGCGGTAACATCCAGCCTTGTTGGCGTCAATGTCGCACCAAAAGCTTGAGCAGAATTTACACTAGTTAACTCATTTTCTATTAATATTCATTCATATGATACTGAGTTATAAGATTCGTTTAGATTAAGAGGTAGCTGGCGATGTCAGCTTTGTCTGTTCGTCACCTCTGTATATGCTGCAACCTCGCTACTGTTTGGGATGAATCCTACCATCAATCTAAAGGTTACCTCATATAAGTGCAAGTGAAAAGTTTTCTCAGTGCCTGCGTAGAATTTGAATGCACCGTTCAGGTATCTAGGTTACATGAGTGACAGTTGAGATAACAGGGATCAATTTCTTTGGTTTTCTGTGGAGTATAACTTAATCTTGCCACAGTCACTGATATTTAGCTCGTTGATGTCATCCTTCTGCCACCTAAGCTTGAACTCAAATAAACCAGATTGCATTTTTCTACCTATGATCTAGGTTTAGTAAATACTGCTACTCTATCTCTAGCTCTTGTCTGAACGCCAACCAATCTATAGCATGTGCTAAGTTTATCGTCAACCTACGATCTATTTTGGTGGTTAAAGGAAACAATAGTATGTATAGGTCCTGTCTAGAAAAATCACAAAGTAGACGCATGAAAACCATGAGCTTGAGAGTAAAGATGTGCTACTGATTTTGAAAAAACGGCTGAACTTGGTAATAACGAGAAGCTTTCTTACTTCACCTTAGTCACCGACAACAGGCATTTTGATGTTAGGAAAACAATCTTTCAAGTTTTTAGTGCATCGATAAACAATACCTAAACATAACCCCAAAACGTTAGATGCAAACACTTTGCAAATTATTCATATTACCTTGCACACTGTGGTAGAATATAATTCCATATTAGATTTGTTTATTTAATATATAAGACACAGTGGGATACCATATTATTTACTTGATGACCACGTTTCGAGCATACATTATTACTGGTCATAGTCATATCAACGTAATTATACCGATCTCGATATCTGGTTTGTTTTACTTCTACCACCGTACATTATTTGTTTGTATTGGTAGGAAAGTTTTCCATATCTCTGGAATAGGTATTGCATCATTTCTATCACATGTATTGACTAGGCCTAGATTCGATGAACAAAGGTTCAGTAATCGATTCCTCTTTCTCTCTCCACCTAACTATATTGGACTTATTATAGTGGTTTTATCCCATCCTGTTGTTTGGTTATGTGTTAATGTATACATTGTAATAGCCGAGTTTTCTAAATTATTCATCTTATTCGGGTCTGTCATTTCATATCTAGCTAAATTCTATGTTCCACTATTCTAACTGACCCCAACCAACCGGGCTAGTTTCACCTATGTACTTGACCTAACAGTCATTACACGAAATTTGATACATTAGATTATTTCGTTTGATTGGTTCTATCGGATCCTTAAGCTAGCCAACAAAGTTTATCTGTGAGTGAGTTTGTGGGTTTAAATGCCACTCTAATTCCATCTTTGTTGAGTATTCTACGTAAAGTTTCTGATATTACTTCCTTATAGGGTAACACTAGTAGAAAAGAGTTCACAGCCTCCACTATGTTACCTAGAAAATGGGCATACGCTGGACCACTGAAAAGATCCTAGAGGATTTGAATTTTGCGAACGATCTATGCCTAATATTGCACAGACTTGATCTACAGGCAAAAACCAACAAGTTAATAGAGGAGGCAGCAAAGATGGGACTTCAAAAGAACGAAGAGAAGACAGGGGTGATGAAGATATCCAACCAACAACAACAACAAGCACCAATCACCATCAACGGGAGAAATCTAAAGGAAGTTGTCTCCTTCACCTACCTAGGCAGCATCGTTTCAACAACAGGCGGCGGTGGCGGCACAAATGAGGATGTCAAAGCCAGGATCGGAAAGACAGAAAGATAGGCTTTCAACAATCTGAAATAATCAATGTGGAGATCTACTGCACTACACTACATTACACTACACTCAGCATGAAGCGCCAACAACATCTGGATTTTCAACACTAATGTCGGTCAAGTAAGTTAATGCTTCTATGTGATGGTTGAGAGACTTGACGTGTTACGAAAAGCACTTCCAACGAACTGAAGACATACAGCATCAACAGCTGTCGCGTACGCTCAATGCTGAATATCAGATGGACAGAATAATAAGAATAAGCAAGGAGGAACTCTGGTTGGCTGGCTGGCTGGCTGGCTGGCTGGCTGGCTGGCTGGCTGGCTGGCTGGCTGGAGACGAACCAACCGACCAACAAACTATCGTCCGAGAAGTATGTATAAGAAGGTGGAGATGGATTTGATTGGACATACACTGAGAAGACTGTTTGGGGATATCACGTGCCAGGCCATGTGAGGTCATCGAGTGGAACCCATATGGGAAACGACGAGTTGTGCATCTGAGGGTGACATGTAGGAGATAGTGTGAGGAAGGAATGTGAGCTTCTGGGCAGTCATAGAATGAGGTTCAAGAGACTGTAGAGGAGAGAGTGAATTAGCGACGTGCTAGTGAAGCCTTATGTTCAACTAGGAACTCAAGGGACAAATAATAATGTATGCTCGAAACGTGATCATCAAATAAACAATATTGTATCACTGTGGGTTATAAATCAGACAAAAAAAATTTAATACGAGTTTTTTATTGCCTTTCTGCTTTATCAAATCCAAATGTAGTATAGTTTGTTCTGTTTTTCCTTTTCCCTTCCGACGCCTTCATCATGAGGCTTTGTTATTCGTGAGATTTTTGTTGTGCTAATCCTTACAAAGTTTGTTTTCCTAATAAATACCTATTGCATGTCAATTTTGTGAACAAAAGAAATGGGTATCATATCCATCAGGGACATAGCCCATACCTGCCAATAACAAAAACAACAACGTGGACTATCCGTATGGTCCGCTAGGTAACGGGTTCCAACTTACATCGCAGTTAATCTCAGGTTTCAGAGTGATATTCGTCGCCGACTAATAACAAATTAAGAACTATTGAAAACCAGCTGCAAACAGTCCACAGCTGAAAAACTGACAAGGGAAACAATCGCTTTATAAACATCGTTCATGAAACCTGACCTTGGTGGACTCTTTAGTCTTTTTACAACGTAAATTCATGTAGACATTAATCAAACTTATCATCTAATAAAAAACAACAAGAAGGTCAAAGTTCACATTAAGCAAAGCAACTAGTTGAAATACATCTGTAAGCAAACGGTAAGATTTTTGACTGAAAAATCAGTCACATCTAAGGTCATCAGAAGAAGTTAATAAAAACAACTTGCAGTGAAAATTCTAGATCTCACATCTTTTTGAAGTTTACCTACTGCACTGCTAACAAGAATCGCCACTACCTATTTATAATCATGCACAATGGTGTTAATAATTCCTTTTAAACATGAATCATGTTGAGCGAGTAATATATCCTAACTACACAACTTCACATCAACCTGGAGGAGTATTTCATAAGTAGTTTTTTTAAACTAAGTTTTGATGATAAATTAGGGGATTGGAGAAAGGATTATGTAATGTTTAAATTGTAATGCACAGAAGATATATGAAGCCTGAAGCATTACTAATGATATAAAATATTGTGTTAAAGTAAGGGATGAATATAATCAGATATGAGGATTTATCAGCGTAGAAGAGTGTAATATATGAGAATATGTAATATATCAGTAACGCGTTTGAAGAAAAGTTTTTTTTAGGGAAAACATACTATAATCAATATATCTGAAAATCAGATAGAACCTGATATAATAATCGCTTAATTCTAAGCATCATGTTTGATACAGTATGGAATTTTCAGTATGTAATATTTCAACGAAGTTATTCCTAGAACAATAACTTCAGAAGAAATAATTGCAAAATCATAACAATGTATAAGAGTCAGTTTATCAATATGATATGGAGGTAGTATTCATCCACGGACTGACATCATTTAGGGAACTATTAAAAACCTGAGTGCACTGAACAACTGTTTCGTCCTCAGCAGTATGCATCCACTACCTGGCTAGGGTTTGAAATCAGGATTTCTAGATGTCATGGGAAACGCGTTAACCATTCATCTGCTCGATCGGAATTCAATGGTTCACAGTTTCCAACTTCTTTCAATACATGATATAGCCCGACTATCACTCAAGGTCTTCAGTTAGTATCCGCTTCCCATCCGATTAAGTTGACCTCACGGGTCATTAGAACTCTTACAAGCTGATATTAGTCCATGATGAATACTATCTCTAAATTAAAATCCCCAGTCATCTCAACTATATGATCTGATACATTTTCTTACAATTAAAAGTCTAATTCGATATACTGTGATGCTTGTTGAAAATATTTTAAAATTAAGCGGGATTACATAATATGTTTAGAACGCATATTTAAAAGATTAAAACAATTGGAAAAGGGAATAATATGATGTGATATATAAGGTAGAAGTCTTTTGGATGCTCAGGTTCAACCAAACCACCTTAAATTGTTTCAAACAATTAATTATGAATATATATATATATATATATATGCTTTTTTTGTTTATTTTATTCAAATATCAGATTAAATGTTCAATTACAATCATTACAAAAGGAAGAAGCTGAACAAACTGAATTTATTGAACGTTTTCTCATGGGTCGTTGAAAGTGATTATTTTTGGTCCCCTTTTTTTATTTATTCATTCATTTAAGAAATACAAGAACACATATTAATGTAAATGAATTGTATTTCAGTTTGGAGATTTATTTAATCTTATTGATTTTCCATTAGAAACCTCTAAGAACTGAACAAGACATGTTTCGTCTTAGTGTTGGACTCCTCAGCAGTACGCACCAACGACTTCATCAGGTTTCCAATAGTTTTTGATCTGATATCTATCCATAATGAAGATCAACTTCAAGTTATTTTTCCTTCCTTTTTTACAGATGTAGATAATACTGGAATAAAAGGAGTGGAATTGCCTTAAAATACTTAAAACTTTAAAGTAGTTTTATAATGGGAAATGTAGAATGATCAGCTTACAAATGATCTACAAATTGTATGGTTCATATTTAAGTTTCCCACTACTGATTCGTATTCCAACTATGGTGTCAATAGGGTTTACGTTGAAAACTACTCAAGCAAAATCACATGGTATGATCTCTGACAAAAAAGTGTCATAAACTACTGAAATATACTGCTGAACAACTTGGATAGTTAGTCAATATAGACCATGCCATTGGCATTTGAAATTCGATCATAATGTTTTAGATACACATGGAGACTCAATTAGTCTATACAGATTCAAGTGACTGAAACATTTCGACTTCGCAAGCTGAATTTGTCCGTTTACATTGGTGATGAACTCAGCCTTGAACTAGCAAAGCAGCTAACTGGCATTTAGGTCATTCCGACCTGGAAAAGATAGAACAACAGAGTTTCATTTCAGAAAGCATCTGTGAAATGCCCAAACCTACTGGAACCGTTGCACCTGGATGTTATGGTCTGCCAAAACTGCATAAAATCGTCCTGTCTCTCAAACCAATTCTCGACAAGAAAAACTCTCTGTATCATGCAACCGCAAATTGGTTAGTATAACTCTTGAGACCTCTTCACAGAGAAGTTGTAGAGTGCAGTCTCAAAGATACCTTTGGATCTGTTGAAAGGATTGACGATGTTCCTTTAATGAAGACAGTATACTTACGGCATGGAAATAGGTATTCCAGTCTCCACATTGAAAGAACTGCTTCTGAAGTGTACAGTGAACGCACAATTCCTTTTCAGCAATTAACCCTACAGGCCATCTGATGGTGTAGCTATGGGGTCACCCCTTGGCCCACTCTTAGCAGATTTTTTCTGGCAAAACTAATGAATAGTCCACTGAACAAAACTATTAGCCGTTTAGAATTATATTTTCGTTACATGGATTAAATCTTTGTTGTTCTCAAAAGTGGGGCTGATAAAAATCCTGTTCCTAATAAGTTCAACAACGTTTGTACAGCATTCAACTTAACAATGGAAGAGGAGAAAAGTGACGTATTCCATTTCTTGATGTTCTGTTGGTAAGAAGGTTAGATGGAACTCTGAAACGAAGAGTATATAGAAAGCCAACATCGACAAGTCTTTACATGCACTTCTTTAGTCCAATACAAGAGGAACCTGGTGAAATGCCTAGCATACTGTTCCACAACTACTTGCTCAGATGATGCTATAAAGGAAGAGTGCGCCACCATCCGTGATCTGCCTAGTAGGAATGGCTATCCAGACAAGTTTGTAACTAAGCATTTGAATTTCAGTGTTATTGCTGGCCACTGCCCATCATTACCATAAGCATGTGAATGTTACAAGGGTTAAGACAAGAACACCAACAGTCTGTTAGAAGCAAATCTTCTTGAAGCTGAAATTTAAGAGTGACACTGCCAATGAGATCATCACACGACGCATAAAAGAGTCTTGCATGAAGCATTCCCAGCCACTAAATTACGTTCCGCCTTCTACAACCACGCAATTCTAGGTGCAAGAAATAAAGACAAACTGCCTGATTCTGCCACTTCTATATTCATTTATCAATTCAATTGTTCATGTGGAGCTAGTCACATTGGGCGTACAATGAGGTAGTCCCATCGTCGAATTGCTGAGCACCACCCATCATGGTTGAACAAGGGATAAATTAGAACATTGAAGAGCTCCATAACTGCACACCTAGTTAACACGGGACATCAAGTGGATACTAGAATGGCCTTCAAAATTATTCATAACATTCTAATTAACTTACAACATGCATTAAGCACTCGCTTACTCCACGTGGCAGAGGCGATTGCAATCCACCTTTACAAACCTAACCGTTGTGTTCAAATGAAGTTTGTTCGACCACTTTCATTACTGTGGCCGTCAACATGATGTAACTCCTAGGATTACTTTGTACACCTCTTCCCCTTCTTATTTCTATCAGTAGTCATTTGTTTTCTTATTATTACGTAGCCACTTACTGTTTATGACTGAACACTCATCAAAAATCAGTCTATTTACCTGAGAATAACTTGCTTCATATTACCATTTTTAATAACCCTATTGATCTAGTGTTATTACATTGCCTGTATTACACTGTCGTTGATTGGACCGAATTGATCAGTCTCTGATCATTTACATCTTAATTTCTAAAACTTATCATCTTCATAACTTACTTAAAATCTCTAGGATTATTGTTCGCCAACCCCCACCAGTTGATTGGCAATTTGATTAAATTGTAAAACTATGTATTAGTGTAGAGCCGAAGACGAAGACCTAATTGAAAAGGAATATATTTCTTCGCTCAGTTATTCTGATCTTGCTACCTAGACAGATCTACAGATCAACATGAGTAGTTTCTGACTACTCATTTTGTTCAGTAGTATATTTCAATAGGCAATATGGTTTATTTCGAATATAGTACATAGCCTGCGGGTTTGAATGTAAATAGGTTTGCATTGCGTAACTAGAGGTATCTTACTTTGGGTTTTAAGGAAGCAGCATAAATCACAAGAAATATTATTGATGGATAGTGGCTAGCAGACGCACATTTCGTTCTATTTAGAACTCATCGGCTGGATATACTTGCCTCCCAGTGAGCAATGTTGTTCTCACTAGCAACAACATTAATCACAAGAAATGGTTATAAAACCACACTAACATATGTATGTATGGATGTATATATATATATATATATATATATATATATATATATATATATATATAATAGTGTTGTTGAACGGAAACGACTACATTGATAAAATGACTATTTTTCTTAATGACCAAACAAATTTCCAAAGAATTGGTAACTCGCCTGACCTAAATGGAAAGGCAGGAAAGGAGATAATAAACGCCCACAAGAAACTAAAAGAAAGTGGAACAATTTCAGAATTCAAATACAATTCACTTAGATCTAAAGGGAGTAACACACTACGGTTGTATGATCTACTTTAAGTACACAAGCCTGGACTGTCTCTTCGTCCAGTTTTAGACATGTCCAACTCCCCATACTACGCAGTTGCTAAATGCTTATTAAGGATTTTAGATCCCTTACACAAAGAATTAGTTAAGCACAGTGTAAAAGACGTCTTCGAATTTATTTCTAAGCTAGATAGTGTTAATGTAAACGGAAAACATATGATATCGCTTGATATCTCATCATTATTCACTAATGTGCCATTACTGGAGACGATTTGGCTTGTCTGTCAACAAATATCGTAAAGGCAAATCAACATCGGGATTCCTATACACATTCTCAAGGAACTGCTTCTTGAATGTACTATGAATGTACATTTCGTCTTCAATAGCTCTCATTATAGACAGATTGATGGGATAGCTATGGGTTCACCACTCGGCCCTATTTTAGCAGATATATTTCTTGCTAAACTGGAGAATGGAGCATTGAAAGAGGTCATTCAGAAGATGACTATGTATCACCGTTATATTGATGATGCATTCGTTATCCTGGATTTAAAGATAATAAATTCTTCAAATAAATGATAAAAATATGTCTGTTGAGTTATCATGAAAGAATTTGGTATTTATCATGGACTAACATCAGTCGGAGAAACATCAGAAAGCTGTTTCCTCCTAGTATGGGACTTCTTAGCAGTGGGCAACCATAACTTCACCAGTGACTGAAACCTGTTCTTTCAGGTCCCACTGTCAGTACTTTACCATTGAGTCACTAGGATCGGAATAACGTAGCCATCATCCAATGTCATTGCTGAGTATTTTCCACTTTTAGAAGCTGTACAACTACATTTTAGTATAATTAATTAAAGCGCACATTTATTGATAAAAATGTATCAGTTATTTATTCGAAAATAGTGTCAACCCATGAGTTTTCATTAAAATCAAAAGCTATGATGAATAGGGAAGATTAATCAGAATATGACTGCTGTTGTATAATGAAGAAAAGGAGCAGTATTATTATTATTATTATTCCCTTGGGTTCCTAATGGAACATACGGCTTCACTGGCACGCCTCCATACCAGTCTCTTCTCTGAAGTCTTTTCAACCTCACCCAACCACTACACACAAGCTCTCATTTCTTCCTCACATGATCTCCTCAACGTCACCCACAGCTCAGACACACAACTCGTCGTTTCCCATTTGGCTTCCACTCGACGGTTTCACCTGGCCTGACACGTGATGTCCCCGATCCGCCCCATCAGTGTATGCCCAATCCATCCGCACCTCCACCTTCTTCTCCTGCATATTTGTTGAGTAATAGGTTCTTGCTTCATTGGTTCATTGCCAGCCAAGGCGAGTTCCTCCTTGCTTATTCTTTCTGGTCATCTTATCTTCAGTATCGAGTGAGAGTAGGCGACAGCTGTTGATATGAGTCAGTAGTTTGTTGGAAATGCTTTTCGTGACACGCCTAGTTTCTGAACCGTATACCAGCACTGACTTGACTGGGTTGGTGTTAAAAATCCGTGGAAAGTAGCATAGGAATCGTAACTTGTGTCTGAAGTGAACAATGTAAAAAGAAAGAGGGGTGTTTTAAATGACTGCAAACTAAAGCCGTGGAAGGAGAGAAAGTTGAATAATTTTCTATTGGTGAAGAAAGCTGAAGCTTTTCTCCATGTAGATAGAAGAAGCTTTGGTGATGAAGTGAACGAAGAGTTTCTTCAGACAAGATGACCTGTGTTCA